CGTGACTCTTCTAGTAGACCCGGTGTGGCGATCGCACTCTCGCAGCAAGCGAACCGTGCAGTGGTAGCTTGGGAACCAATCGATGAACGGATGGCCTACACAGGATTGAAGGCTCTCTTCAAGAACATTGGTATGGACTTTGTGTACGCATCACCTTCCACCGCAGAGCAGCACAATAAAGAGACGTGTTAGTCGCAGCTGCAAACTTTAATTGAAAGAATCCCCCGCAGTGGTCTGCTGATTGTTGCCGGAGACTACAATAGCCAGACTGAGTCTACAAACAGTCATCTTATTGGTCGTTTGGGCTTGGCTCTCGCTGCAACAGTGGTGACAGACTACTGAATTTTACCGCTCGGAACCTACTGTCTGTCACCAACACGTACTATCAGCATCGGCACAAACATCTGCTGATCCCTATTCAAACGACGGTCATATCGCCAGTCAAATGCACTACATTCTTCCCTTCCCACCCGGAATCGGGCCTGAAGATCGCACTTGCAAGAGTTTTCCCTTTTAATTTAACCAACTGCGATAAGCCCTTCCTCCATATTATGCCTGTCCTACTTCACCACTCGTTTGGCAAACGGCACGACGAACGGATTGACTATGTAGTGGCATTCATTGCCAGGTTTACCGAACACACTACGCAGAGAGCGGAGCGGCATAACACTGTCACAGTACCCCAACATGCAAAGGGCGACTATGCTCTGGCCTTGGCCCCGATGTTCTGGGCATCAGTTTGGTGTGCCAAGACAACACTCCTTACGCAGGGCGTCACGACCAACAGAAGTACAGGGCTGGTTACAAAAAACTCCCAAACAAATTCTGCCACGAGAAACGACTTAAAAGAAAGAAAAAGGAAGGTGAAATGATAGTCTGGAGTTTCCGCAAATGCTAAGCCGACACTCTATGTAAACGCCCAAGACTGAAATCAAACTGGCTCAAGCATCTAGTTTGCTTAGGGATTCACTCAGCTTAGTAGATGTCGCTCCCCCCAAAAACGATAATTAAAGCAGAACTGCGGTTCGTGATCCTTGTAGCCTCATAGTCATCCCAGGCAGCTAATGAGTGATCTACTCCTAATCGAAATTCCTGGCTCTTTTCAGACCTGGAATTCACACTGCCTCCCCCCC